CTGGTGCAAATTACTGACCTCTGTCATCATTTTAGGTGGGGGAACTTGCACAATCGGTGGCTGACTAAATACTTTTTTGCCCCACTGTATTTTCCAACAGGTTGGCAGCGGTTCCTGAGGATTGCTGGCTGTCCCGCGTGAAATCATTTGCAAAGAATGTACAGAACAAAAAAACAGTGTTGTTTGGTTGTTAGCACATTGCCAAGATGTCCTGCAGTTTTTCACGTTTCTATGCAAATAATTGGTAACTACTGGCTGAGCAGTTGTAAAACTTGTCACAAAAACGTGTTGCAAGTAAAAGGTATTAGCTTAACCTCTAGTGCCCCAGACCGTGTGCTCAATAGTGCAACTGCGTTGTCTTATCATAACTGAGCTTTCATGACAACAATTTGCATATACTCCAGAATGTTATGAAGAGTGATCAGATGAATTGCAAAGTCCCTCTTTTGAACTTAATCCCAAACAACCCATTTCCACTGCATTTCATGATCAGCATTTCATACCACAAAACAACCTGCTGAGATCATTTCGATAATCTTCTCGTTAACACACGTGAGAATGTCGACAAGCCCCAGGCTGGAGATCATTATGTCACGCTGATTGAATTAGAATAGCAGACTGGAATCGGCAATCGGAAATCATTGTTCTTCCTGTTAACCATGGTTACCTGCAAGAAGACATCACTGCGTTGCATAAAAAGGGAGACAACAGGCAAGGATGTTGTTGCTACTAAGACTGCAGGTAAATGAACCATTTATTGAATCATCAAGAACTTCAAGGAAGGAGGTGCAGTTGTTGCTAAGACTGCTTCAGGGTGCACAAGAAAGTCCAGCAAGGGCCAGGAACGTCTCCTAAACATGATTCAGCTGCGGGATCGGAGTGCCACCAGTGCAGAGCTTGCTCGGGAATGGCAGTAGGTAGGTGTGAGTGCATCTGCGAACACAGGGAGGCAAATACTTTTGACGCCCCTTTCCCATTGTTTGGGGCATCTGGAAAAAGGATTGTCCGGTGAAGAAAATGTGAGCGCTACCATCAGTCCTGTCTCATGCCAACAGTAAAACATCCTGAGACCATTCATGTGTGGGCCTGCTTCTCATTCAAGGGAGTGGACTCACTCACAATTTTGGCAAAGAACCCAGCCATGAATAAAGAATGGCACCAAAACAGCAACTTCTTCCAACCATCCAGTTTGGTGAAGATCAACGCCTTTTCCAGCATGATGGAGCACCGTGTCATAAGGCCAGAGGGATAACTACACAGCAAAAAGACCAGTGTTAAGTTATTTCCCACAGGGTCATTTTCAACACTTTTTCAGGGTTTATATAGCTCCACACTCTTTAGAGTTAAATCACCATTTTTGAACAAGTTAAAATATTTAACACTGTGCCAGAGTTTTAGATCTCAAAATAGAGTTAAAATAACACTTTAGAGACACTAATAAGTGACTCTACTGAGATACAGTTTTTAACCTTCTGGTTAGTGTTGGCTTCACTCCCTATACTGTCAGGCTTTTTACACTTAAGTGTTAAAATTAAATTCTGAAAAAGAATTACGTTGCACACAATAAATTTGACCAAAAAGGACATTTATTTTGTCTTCAAAAAATTGTGAATGAAGGTACAATGTACTCTGTCTAATCTGAAACATGTATGACCTTTGCTTATCAAAAGCGATATAAAACTTTAGATCTGACATTTTCACTATGCATCCCTCCTTGGTATGTACAACTCTGAATGCATATAGATGGTTATCAAAACACTCTGTAAACAACTTGTTTCCCATAACATTTTCTTATCTTTAACCAAAACTAAATAACTTATTTGGTAAAAGACGGACATGTCTTCTTCCACTGCACTGCAAATAACAAGTCCAGATTTATACTGTCTTGGGACAAATTAAACACAAAATGTGCTTTGAAAAGTTCATCAAATGCCCCAAGTGAGTGGCTCGCCTGGCATGGAATGAGATGCTTATCCATGTTGATGTACAAGGTGTCAATCTTGCTCTTCTGACGCCTGACACTGACCTTGTTGATTCCAGACTGCAGCATGACTGGGGTTGACATAAGGAAACTGAAAATCAATCACAGAAATTATGTCCAAATACAGAAAAAAAGGACTGAAAGATTCATTGGCTCTGTTTTGACTTTTGTTCCAAAAAAAATGCCTTCATATAGGGAAAAATATATATCACATATGCAGGACACCTTAAACTAGTTTTTTAATTAAGTAGCAAGGCAGAACAATGTCGGGGCTGTATCAAGACACGAGGACTAAACCCCAATTCAACCAGACCCAGAACTGATCCAGAACTAAAACAGGACTCCAACAGTTCAAAATCAGGACTACTGAAGACTTAACCAAGACAGAACCAGAATCAGAACTAGATGATAGCAGCACTAAAAACCATCATAGGCCTGCATTTAGCCTTGTTGTGCAAACAAGCTGCATAACTTAATAAATGTAGAATTTGAAAAATAAAAAACCTAAAAAGAAACACTAGGTGCAAAATACATGAGGACCCGTGATAAGGTGATACTGTTGGTAAACAACCAACTAACATGTGTGTCTCACCTGCTCTTGTTC